TCATATTAGGAATTGTTGTTTCATGCGTGGTAATATTCTGCACAGTTAGCACAAAATAGTGGTTTAAAGCCGTTGTAGTTGACGGTATTGCTAGCAGTGTTTGCATTGGATGTTTTTCCATGCTTTAGTAATGCGACTAGGGATTTTCTCATTAAAATATTATACCAGCTCTTGGAATTTTGAAGTTGCTGTTTTGCCTTGTTTTCCCCAGCAAGTGTTTATCGTTGTTATTAGCTTAGCTTCACGCTTAGAAATAGTGTTAGTTTAAAAATTTTAGGATGGTTCACTGGATTTTTTTTCGTTAATACCGCTCTGTCTTCCCTTTCGTCCTCCCTTGAAATAGTAGTGTCCGCAGTGAAAAATTGTTATTTTTGAGAGAGAGTTATATTATTCGTACTATTTTTCTTTGCTCGTTTGAAAGCAAAAAGGTTTTTTTTAATCTTTTTGCTCAGCACTGAATTATAATAATCTTTGTCACATTCCTTTTTATTGATGTTGTTTTTACAATACGCTTAAATACTGTTTGTTGTTATGAGAGTTGCATAAGATGGCCTTAGCAAACACCCAATCGCTTTTCCACAAATTAGTGTGTGAGTGCAGCAAACTAGTTGTTGAAACAGTAGCTTAGATTTAACGGTATTCATTAGACGTCATAGAGCCTCTAACCTTCCTAATATTTTCACCTCTTGTTCATTTGGATTATTTTTTTTAATTTAGTGTCTCTGGTTTTTATATATTTATAAATCGTTACTATATAACTAAAGTTTTGCATGTTTTTAGCTATACGATAGTTGTTCTGAAACTAAATTTTGATTTGTTTGCTGTTGGGTGCGAAAATGTATTGTTGCACGAACTTCTTTGAGTAAAAATTTAAATTTTTTGACAAAAAGTTCTCTGTCTAGTAAAAGGAGCTGTAAGTTTTTTATGTAGATAAGAAAATGCTGAAATATATTTCTCAGGTATGCCAAAACCTTACAGGATTGTTTAGATGAAGTGACATGCGAAGCCAGGAATTTATTGGATTTGATGTTGTTTTTAGACCCCAGTTTTTGTGAAGACTGCGGAGTGAAGATTAAAACAATAAAGGACTCTTTGTAAATAATTTATTTTTTGAAAAATTTTTTATCTTAGTCTGTATCGTTAGAGCAAGACGATCCTGTGATTTTGCAAAGGTGAACAAATTTATCTTTTCACTGTTATTTTCGTTCTTGTATGCGGAAAAACTGGATTTTGTCCTCAAAGAATTCGTAGCATTCTTTTCTAATTTTAACTTCTTTCTTCAACATGCTGTACTATAAAATGTGATTCAGGTTTTAAAATATTGTGTATTTGTTGTAATTACTAATTTTCTGTACATGGTGTAAGTTTTTGATTGTTGTTTGTTAACAGTTTCGTTGAGGTTTTTGGACCTTTGTTTGAGAGAATGCTCGCCTTTTTTTCTTTAATTTTTTATCTGGCTAATTTTTGTTGATACTAACTGTCTTTTAGGCTTTTTCATTTTTCATTTATTTTTTGTTTATTTTTTGCTTGTGGTATGCTTTGCAGTTAATTTTTATACTCTTTATCTTGCTTTTTGGCAATAATAATAGTAATTTAGTGCGAGATCGCGGTTAAAAGAAGACTTTTATGCAAGTTTTTACTAACTTTTTTTATAAGCCACTGTCACCTATCTTATACATAACTTGTTTTTCTTCAGTCGAACTTTTAACTGCATTTTAATCGATTAATTACTTCTTTTCCATGCTAATACTTGATCATCGGTGCAGTGTTGCTAAAGACTTATCCAGTAACTTTATTTTTTCCAGTTAATGACGAAAAGGAGAGTGAAAAAAGTTTTTCTTGGGCTGGATTTAGTTGAATTATTTTGGAGTAGGATCACAAAATTTGAGTTTTTTTGCAACTATATCTAGGCATTTAGCCAATCAGTCTGAACGGTTAAACTTTTTGTAAATTTTAGATCGGATTGGATATTGTAATGCAGGCTGATATATCCAATGTTTTTTTTTAAAAAAATTAAATAGGAATGGGTGCTGATGTTCTCTCAAGTTTTACTAATGGATTTTTCTTCTTGATTTTCATATAGGGGTGTACGGTATTTTTTTAAATTAATTAAGATTTTTAAGATTGGCAATGAGTTTTCAGAAGACAGTGATGATTATTTCTTTAGCGTCTAGTTTCTTTCTTACAGATACTAGTTCCAAAGTTTAAGAGGAGGAATCTTTGGTACAAGACAAGAACTGATCAGAACATGGATTTTTTTGACTGTACTTTTTTGTCAGTGGTATGCTTTAGAGTTTTTATTTTTTGAAGTGAATTATTAGCTGCCTAGTTTTTTTATTATAATTTTTTTGGTCAGTTATAACAAATTTTCTTGGAGCTACAGCAGCTGCACTCTCGCATTCATGGATTTTTTGCATGTTTTTTTTTATTCTTGCTTGACAATTCACTGTTTAGTTGTTCAAATTTCAAGCCTTTATTAGCATTTGATCACTGAAAGATTTTGCGAAGCTCAAGGTTTTTTTTAGAAGGAAAATCTTGAACAGTTTCTTTGATTTTCTTTTTTCTTTATAATCATATTCTTGTTGACACAATAATTATCAGGCCATTTGTCAACTATTTTAGCATTTCTTATTTGGGAGCACATCGGTTAAAGCTTGTGCATATGCTAAGGAGTTGATTTGGCTGTTTGGTGTTACTAATACTTTTTAAAGGCTTAGCTTGGTGGTTGAAAAACAGTTGAATGGTTTTTACCACACAACAAAGAATGCATTTTCATGGGTTTTCGTCTCGAATCAGGCTTGTTTGCATTGCTTAATTGTCGATTAACCTTCACATCACGTTCCGGTTTGTGACTTCTGTTATAATTTGCCCGTTTTGCTAGTTGCTGGTTTCACTGCTAGTTTCACCTCTGTTTTTAGCAGGAGGTAAATCTGGGAGTATATTGTAAAGTAATTGCTCAATGGACTTTATAAAGCGTTACTTTACTTAACCTCACTGTTGGGAAAAAATTGCAAACTTTTCGGGGGATTATAACACTTTTCGTGCCTGAAGCTACAGTTGAAATTACACTGAACCCGTTGATGGTTCATTTTTCAGGAATCATTTTTCAGGAATTGGCGTCTTTTGAGGTCTTTTTGGGGAAGAACAATTTTGCCCTGTTTAAAATATGGATTGTCTAATGCGGGCTGTTGTTCACAAGAGGATTAGAGGCCCGTTTAGACTTATGTCTGCAATTAATTTTTACTGTAAGTAATCATATAAGAGTAAAACGAATAGGTTTTTAAGCATAAATATGAGGCTTAACGTAGTTGAGAGTTTATACTGCTAGTTTTATTTGTTATTTTAAAGTCTTTATTGTCTCTTTTGAAGGTCTTTATGTTTAGTTCTTATTGTTTTGTAGGAGGTGGAGTATTTTTTTAGACTATTTGGAATTGGAAAATGTAATATTGCAAAGGAAGAAGTATAATTTATTGTATACAAAACTGATGAAGAGGGAGATCTAGGCACAACACTGATTCCAGATTTTCGCTTTCCTAGATATCGTGCGTTAGACGAAGCTGCTATGATTGATGGAAGTTAGTAGAGATAAAATTAATTTCAACTGTAGCTTTGATACTTGCCTTGATTATTCTTGTTGTTTTTGGTTTGCACCTTTTATTCTCTCACTGTTTATTGTTTTGCACAGCACGGGTGGTTTAGTGGTTTTCTAAGCATTTAGTTAGTCAGCTAGTTAGATTAACTTTTCAAGGTCATTTTTTTTCCAATAATTTTATGTTGCATCCAGTTGAGGCTTTTTTTACCGCTTACCATTATTCATATTTCTTTTAGTTGACGCAAAAAAAAAATTTTTTTTATTTTTTTTTATTTTTTTGTAAAAGTTGTTTTGTTTAGCTCATCTTTTTTTTTTTTTTTTACGTTTGTAATGCACTGTTTTTTTCGCTTAAAAATTTTTCTTTTTTTCTGCAGCTACGAGTTGTTCGAGCTTTTCGTTCAACATTGGAAGATTTCGAAGACAAGCGTTCTATTACTAGCGCTCAATCATGTAATTCGGTACACGCCACAAACATTCCTTGGTCTTCATATATATCGTTGGCAAGTGTTTGTTCTTCACAACGTCTTCGTGGCGGTGATTTAGCGAATTCTGAACAGGTTAAGCAGTCATCGTATTTGCGTACGACACCGACTGTACATCGTACAAGCATTCCGCAACCATATCCGTACTATCACTGTCAACAGCCGCGAATTACCGTTAATTCGGCAGTGATCAGTGAAACAACGCCAAACGGTCGTAGGGAGACGCCTAAAGGCGGAAATGGTAAAATTGTTGGATTCAGCGGTTCACCAAATGCCATCACTGATGAGATATCGCTAACTCAAGTGTCGAAGTTAGACGATTCTGGTAAAGTGCCGCTTATACAACGATACTGCCCTTCGAGCGGATCGAGTTATTCGCAAAAGATTGGAAAAAGTATTTCATTAGATACTCCTGTTACTGTAGCCCATGTCTGACATCAAAAGAAAAAAGAAATGATTTTTTTTCCTTAAATCTCATTTCCTTTATCTTTACAAATTTTTCTTCTATTAATTATTGCTTATGACGTTATTTATAGTAATTGAAAATAATTGATTTTTGTTTTGTTAGTCGATTTAACTATGTATGTGATAAGATGTACCATTCAGTTTGTTTGTTTAGCAATGCTCTATTTCTTAGTATTTTTTTTTATTTTTTTTTATTTTTATAATTTTTTTGCAGAAGTATAGTTCCTTTTTTTGCGTCACTTTGTTTTTGAAAATTCTTTTTTTTGCCTGCTGTGATAATTGTTGTTTCTTTATCATTTTTTTGGTTTGCTTTGCGCTCTGTTGTTATGTTGTAAGAGGAAATCGTAGTTGTTTTTTTTTTTTTT